AGGGTGAGATACAGGGCAATGAAACAGTAATCATTAGGACTACACATGGAGGACCTTTATGGTTTTTTTTCTCACGTTTTCGTTTTAAAAGATTTTTTTAAAATAATTCCATGAAACTCAATAATAATTTTTTCATGAAAAAATTCAAGTGATTTAGAAACCAAAACACGGAAACTCTTCGAGATTTTTCTCATCCCGTTCTTCTGTTTTTGTGGTCTTGGCTCAAAGGTGTAGGTCATCTAGAGTGGTGCTGCATGCGGTGAAGCATGATCTAGGCGTGTCCTCAAATAATGACTTACACTCTAAGTCGCCTCACCAACCTGGCTTGTAAACTAACAACTATCCAAGCTTTAAGAGCTCTACATAAACCATATCACTATTTCATGTGGAACTAACGCACCTCTCTTAAAGCTGCAATTAAGGAAGCTCCAAAGAGGCCAGAACTAAGGTGGCTTTCCAACATGCCCTTTCTCTTTGTTTCTTTAAAACTAAACAGTTTTTAAAAATCGAATGATACAAACCCAATTTATCCTACAAAGGTTTGTTGAGCTTAACATATTATCCCTTATCACATTATCTACAAATATTTGATCTTATAGTCTTATGCTCCAAATATTTAACCTTAACACGAAAGAGTGTATTAAAGACATTATGAAAACTAATTTTACGAGATTGGGTTGGGATTAAAAATCACTGAAATGATATATATGTTTATAGGCGTACAAGTCAACATTATTAAAAATGATAAAAGTTAGTGAGAGATTTCACCATAAACGAAACCATTGGGTAAGGATTACGTAGCTTAAAAACAAGGGTCGCTTCATTCCGATCTTAAGTTGTTAATAGAAAGCTCAAAAGAGCTTTTTCATTTTATCAATATTTCTAAATCAATATCAAATGCAAGGCCAATTATAGAGTGGAAGTTGCCAAATCGCATGGTATTTTTCAGATACGGCTGGGGTGGACATTGCACGGCATAATGGCGTGGGTCGCAAAATCGCATGGTGTTTTTCAGATGCGGCTAGAGTGGACATGGCAGGGCATAACGGCGTGGGTCGCAGAATCATGAACCCAAATGTTTTATCCTTAATGGTGATTTCTGAGGGTATTAAAGGGTCTTCGTGTCTTTGTAATTTATAGTTTTATGTTATACTTAGCCCACTAACAGTGAATAAAACATATGCATTCTTCTTGAACACATCTTCTCCTCTGCTTTCCAGTTAGCCCCTTGAGAAGGAGATGAGATGAGGAGCGGAGAGGAGAGACAGACGGCAACGGGGATTCGGAAGAAGGGAAGCGGAATCAGGCAATGGCTGCTGCTCGACGGGAAAGGAGAGACGGAGGTGGTGGAGGCTGGGAAACACGCCATCATGAAGCGCACCGGCCTCCCTGCCCGTGACCTCCGCATATTGGACCCTCTCCTCTCCTACCCTTCCACCCTTCTTGGCCGTGAGAGGGCCATCGTCATCAACTTGGAGCACATCAAGGCCATCATCACCGCCCAAGAGGTTCTCCTCCTCAACTCACGTGACCCCTCTGTCACCCCCTTCGTCCACGAGCTCCAGGCCAGGATTCTCCGCCATCACCAGGCCTCCTCCCCTTGCACAAACCACGACCACTACACCAACTACGAGCCCGACCGCGACCACGACCCCGATGCCATCAAGATTATCCCTTTCGAGTTCGTAGCTCTGGAGGCCTGCCTTGAATCCGCCTGTAGCGTATTGGAGAACGAAGTCCGTGCTTCCATCTTCTCTTCTTTTTATTTCTTGCCGATAATTTCCCTCTGTCTTCACTCTAAACCTTTCCTCTGCCAACTGACAGGCAAAGACGTTGGAGCAGGAGGCTCATCCCGCCTTGGACAAGCTCACATCCAATATCAGTACTCTCAATTTGGAACGCGTTCGTCAAATTAAGAGCCGATTAGTCGCCATCATTGGGCGTGTTCAGAAGGTTGGTTGTGTGATTGATGCATGGCATGAGCTTCCGGGGCTTTCATTATTTGATCATGTGTCCAGGTGAGGGATGAATTGGAGCACTTGCTGGACGACGACGAAGATATGGCCGAGATGTATCTGACAGAAAAGTTAGCCGAACAGCAGATGAAAGAGAGCTCTTCCACATCCTCCATAAATGACCACGACGAGGAGGATTTAGACGACAGGCATCCACCTTTTTACGCTTTTACCTCTTTTTAACTCTCTTTCCTCCCTCTAAATGTAAATTTTCTATCCATTTTTAGGACCGTTCCAGAAATATCCTTTGAGCCTGGAGGACCCCCTGTGGGCTTGGAGGATCATCACAGTGTCTACAATGTTCTTGGTAGGGACAACCATGGAACCCGTGGTAGCACCTACAGTGCCGTCACCAAGCAGCTTGATGTCGAGGAGCTTGAAATGCTTTTGGAGGCTTACTTTGTGCAGATCGATGGCACCTTGAACAAGCTCTCGACGGTATGCACGCCCCTTCATCTTATATTCCTTCTGCTCTATCGGTTGATCATCCGTATTTTATTACTTTTTCTACAAACAAAGTCTTACACAGGGGATAAAAGAAGAGACATGGGTTTATATACACATAGATACTTGTAAGAGGTCTTTTGGAGTTAGTGAGGGCTTAGTGTGGAGATACGTGTTTATATGAAACCTCCCAACATTTCCTTCCCCTCTAAGTGCGTACAAACACCAATTAGTTCTTTCCGATTAAGTAGCCTAGTGAAATCTTATTTGAAGATGGAAGAGGTTCTGTATATAAGGTTGGAGGAGAAGCCATGAAAAGAGTAACTTTTTTCCTTTCTGGTTTGTATTTGAGGGCATAGATTGTCAGGAGTTCTTCCAACGTTGTTTCATAGGAAAACATGTAATGGGGTGCCAATCATCATTTTTGCCCTTCAAAAACGGGAAGTCGGTTAAGTTGGTCTCCCTAAAAGATGAAAAATGTTAAATTTGGAAAGTTTAGTCCATGGATCAATTGAGAGGCTTGAGTTAACTTTTACAGAAATCTCACATACATGTTAATTGTCATCTACGGATCTTTCACGACAACATTTTTTTGTGTATGTCGTATTAGTAATCCCTAATACAGACTAGAGACTAAAATGAAACCAGAGCAGAGAGGAAAGACACCATGGTTGAGATAAAAGGTTTGGTTGATTGAAGCTTGGCCCTATTAGTGAAGGGAGAAGAGACTTTTGTTGGTTGTGGAGCAGGCAACATATTTACATCTTGGTCATATCCTGATAACCATCAGTGGTGACGCTCTATCCGTCATTATCTACTTATACTCGAAACTGGCAACAAAGTCATCACCCATGATCAACATTTGCTTCCGATCCAACCTTGACATTGAGCAATTTTGGAACTGGGGGAGACAAACTAGTCTTTCAATGCTGTATTTGCCAAGTTCCAGCTTTCGGCAATCATCAAGACCCCTTATATTTTAGGGGCTAAAATGCTGTTACATATGGGATTAAAGATGCATGTTATTTCAAACCTTTGTAACAAACTCTCTTATTTTTTGAAATGTTGGGGACTTGGCCAATATGTTTCTAAGGCGGATGAATTGTATGTAAGGGAGTTTGTCAAATCACGTGGTATCCAGTAACAAACTCTCTTTACAGTAACAGTTTTGTTATTAGCACCAAAACTTCCGAAGTATCCAGATTCTTTTTCTTACATTTATTATTTTTTACATTCTTTCCCTTCCATTTTAATATCTATCCCTAATCTATTTTATTTCTTCTATTTGTGAAAACAACATTTCTCTTTCAATGATACCTTGGGATCAGACATGCAGGTTCTAGTAGCTGGCAGCATTGTTGTTGAAGGGAGCAAAGTTACATATAAGAACATTATATATGATATTCTAAAATGGGGGATCCTTCCAAGCGAGAAAAATTTGACATACTAAACCAAATGCGGCATGTTCCTCTGGGTCAGGAAGATCTCAGGCAGGAGGATCTCCTGTGCTTGGAAAAGATTTAAACACATGCATATGAAATATTCCAATATAAAGATCACCGTTTCCCCCTCAGCTCTCTACACTCTCCTCATTACCCATACCTCATAACAAAGCTTTATCATGTTTTCTCCTTTTGAAAACAGATCAAGCATTCCCCCTTAATTTTCTGCCCATAGGAAAACACTAAAACTTCCCGAATAAATAAGAAAACACTAGAAAAATATATATTTAGGTAAAATACTTGACTTTATGAGTTAAAAAAAATTAATTTATATGTTGAATTTATATTTTAAAAATTATTTTTATTGAAATAAATTAAGTTAAAAGTAATGAAAAAAATAAAAATTGTTTTGGTTGTAGTTTTGTTTGTAAGAAAAATTAGTAAAAGTTATTAATAGATGTGTAGATAAGAAAAATAAATAAAGTAATGAGTTATTTTAGAAATTTTGATATTTTTCAATACTTGACTTACTGTTAAAAATTAATAAGTTTTTATTTTTTATGGTTTATTATAAGATGAATGTGTATTTTAAAAAATAATGTTTATTTATTGAAAAATGGAGTTAATAATAATGAGAAAATTAAAATTTGTTTTAGTTATAATTTTTGTTTTTAAGAAAAGTTAATGAAAGTTGTTAATAGATGTTTAGTAAAAATGAGTTATTTTAGTAATTTTTTTATTTTTCAATATTTTATTTTTCACTTTAAAAATCAACTGCTTAAGTTTTTTCAAATAGTTTTTTGCCAAATTATATACATTTTGTTAGTAAAAATTTCAATTAGGATTATAAATTAAAAAATAGGTTTTCAAAGTTAGTTTCGGAAGATTTAAAATTGTATTAAAATAACATTTATACCAAATTCACGCACTTATCACAAAAATTTACATCGTAAAAAGTTTACTTGATTTTTTTTTTCAATTATAAGATCTATTCAAGTTTTTTCATATAATTTCGTACAAACTAAATCATTTAATCTAAAAATTGAAAAATATTAAAAACAAAAACTAAACAAAAAGAACTAATGTTTCGTACGTAAATCATCAACTTAGCCGCCAAATCCTTCTGACAATCTGTTTCCCGCCTAAACTTAAACAGTCGAGAAGTAGAGAGGCAGAGTATGCACATCTCATCTCATATTGTGAAATCTGAAGTGAATGACAGAAAAAAATGGTCTCTGCATCAAACCCTAACCCTAAAACTAAGAATGTTTACCACATCGGTGGTCTGGAAGTAGAATTTCCTTACCAACCATATGGGTCTCAGTTTGCCTTTATGGGTAGAGTGATCTCTACCCTCAACCAGGCTCGGAGAGAAGGCCACTGTCACGCGTTGCTCGAGTCTCCAACTGGCACCGGCAAGTCCCTTTCGCTTCTCTGTTCATCTCTCGCTTGGCAGCAACACTATAAATCTAAACAAGACCCCCTCAATCCCCTCCCGGAGGCAACCACCGATCCTCTGGCTTATGGCGGCGGATTTGTTGTCGAGGAGCTTTCACTATCTTCTGGTATGCTAATTACCTAGTCTAATGGGCCATATTTTTTATCTACTTTTCGTTCTCCTCACAAAATTCTCCTGCTTTTAGCATCAGAAAACTCGGACCGTACGCAAACTGAGGCAAACAACAAGAAGCAGAAGAAAAAGAAAGCACCGACTATTTATTACGCTTCGTATGTTTTTTTACCTTTACCGTTTGAATCCCTTTTGCTTGTTACATTAGTAATTCATTGTATAAATTTTTTTATTTTTTATTTAATTATTATCGTAGTTTCACTTAACCAGCACTGCTATGTATTTTAGACATGTTTATATTACATTGAATGGTTCCATTCCAGGGTTTCCCTGTCATACGGGTATCATCACTTATCTGGCTAATTTTTTACTCTATTGTACAAGGAGAACGCACTCACAGATTTCTCAAGTGGTTAACGAATTGCGCAAAACTGCATACAGGGTGCCAATGGCTGTGTTGGTAGGTTGAATCCATTTATTATCTAACCTCGTTTGATTTCTTTGGTGTTTTCCCTCTGAAGTAATTCACCTTTTGATTTTCTTTTTTAACCAAAATTAATGGAGCTACTGCAAAATATCATATCTTTTGATATCATTCCGGTGAATGTGATTATTCAGCATTTCTCCAGACTGAAGCATTTTTAATTTCATTATTTTTCTAATAAATTTTTAATATTTAATGATAAGCTATATTTTTTTTTTGTGAAGCATATTATATATTATATGTTAGTTTTAAAGCATTGCTGATGAGATACTAATCAACATCCAACTTGTATGTTATGGATTTTAATTTAGCAAAGGTTTTATCAAAAGTCAGTATGCATTTTTGCCGTTGATACTTATTATTGGGTATGCAAAAAGATATGTTACATTCAGTGAAGTAATATGAATTTAAATATTTTTCCCTCATTTATTTGGCAGGCGTCGCGGAAACATTACTGCACAAATAAAAATATAATTGGCAAAGAGAATATCAATGAAGAATGGTGCTTTTTACCTTGACATTTTTTACTTTATGGGAATCTCTTTTCCCTCTTCAATCTTGGTACTGATATTTTTCATAAAATTTTGTCAGTAAACTATTATTGAAAGATGAGGCAACAGGGTGTCCAGAATTCAAGTGAGTGTATGCTCTTCCACGCATGCTTCCTCTCTATCTTTTATGTTGCTCTTGAAGTAACCAAAATGAGAAACTTACAATCTATGCAGAAATGCTCATAAAGTCAAAGGTCATCCATCCCTTCAGAAAGGAGGATGCAATGAGGTGCATGACATAGAAGATCTAGTAAAAGTTGGACAATTGGTCAAAGGTTTGACCTTTTACTGTTATTTTGGAGTTTTGTTAATTCTCTTGAAGTCTATGCGAAGCTTTGTAATGTACAAGTTTTCTGCTGTCTCCACTTTCAGGGTGCTCTTATTATGCTGCTCGTTCTATGTCAGATGATGCACAGTTGGTATTTTGTCCTTATAACTATATCATTAATCCAGTCATCCGGGCAGCAATGGATGTGGATATCAAAGGCGCCATAGTGATTCTTGATGAAGCTCAGTGAGTTGTTGTTCTCTTTCTATTTAGTTTCCAAATCAATCAAACAGTTATAGGAGTCCAGTTAAATTGAACTGGCTTTATTTTATTTTTTAAGATAGTACATAGGTTCTAGTTGTCTATCATACACCACCTGTTGTATTGTATTCAAGCCAATGCAGAACTGAAAGACAACTTTGTATGGTTTGGTTGTAATTTATTCCTGTTTTTGTCTATGAAATGGCCCTCACATACTTGCCCTTTGCAGCAATATAGAGGACATTGCTCGTGATGCTGGAAGTGTGGATATTGAAGAGGATGTTTTTGATAGTATGCTACGAACCTTACTCTTTTATTTTCCTTGTCACTAATAATTGAGACTTACTTTCATGGTCACTACTAATGATGCTTAACTACATGACTATACCTTTGAAAGAACTACAAATGGAACTCCAGCGACTTTGTTCAATTAATACTGCAATTTACCAACCACTATATGAAATGGCACAGGTAATAGGATTAGATATTGGGTTTGAAATGTTTGACTAATAAATTTATCCTCAGTGGCTGTATATATTCAATGTGTGCTGTATTTGTATAGGGCCTTACTAGTTGGATGGAAAGGAAGAAAAACCAGCTCGAAAAACGTGATTTTCACCACTATGTATCGCAGTAAGTTAGAGATTTTTCCATTTTGTATGCCTCTATTCATTATTATTTTGTAAATACAGTTTTTGCTTTATAATTTGGTTCTTGAGGCTGTAAAATTGTTTTGCTTTATATTTGATATGATCATGCTTTATAGAGTGATATGCGACTAGTAGTTGATTGGGATTTCAATAATCATGCTGAATCAATGGGTATTGGTAAAGGGAGACTCCACTTGGGTTGGGGATAATACTGTTAACTGTAATCTTGTTGCATGTTACATTATTTCTACTCTTAATAAGGTACATGCGCTTTTTCTCCCAAGTGAATCTCCATTTGTTTAATTTGATTAGGAGATTATATATTATTCTTTTGTCATTCTTTTGAACCTATTTCACGTGTTGATAAGAATTGATCTTTTTTTATCTTGTCAACTTATAAATTTCTGTTTTATTGTCTCCATTCACGTATGACATCTACTAGTGGAGAGCTGAAGTGTTGCTTTAAGCTCTATGAACTTTTTTGTGTTTAGATTATTTTTCCTCTGTTATAGTTGAATTGATATTCTTAAAAAAATTATTTAACGGTTGTGTCCTTTGTTTGCTAAAATAAAACCCATGACCTGTGAGCTAATCTGAGATTTAATAACACAAGCTTCCTATATGTATGTATAGTTGGACTGGTGATAATGCTTTACGAGAGCTTGAAGAAGCAAATATTTCGAAGCAGTGCTTCCCTATCTTGTTGGAATGTGCTACCAAGGTATCCCATTTGTTGGCATTTGTATTTATTTTTATGATTGCGTGCCATTCATCTACTTGATAATTTGTTCAAGGTATCCCATTTGTTGGCATTTGTATTTATTCTTTTGATTGCGTGCCATTCATCTACTTGATAATTTGTTCAAGGCAATCAAAGTTGCTACAGACTTGGAGACAGATGAACCGCATATAAGTGGCACGGCAGTGATAACATTGGAAGGTTTGGGTTTATGTTTTTAATATATGTGGAACTACATTCAGCTACCGACTTAGCTCAAAATATTCATTACTACCAATGATATTTATTGATCTCATTTCAGGCTTATTCTCGTCGCTAACTTATTTCTTCTCAAGAAATGGATCTCACATGTTGGATTACCAGCTTGCTCTTCAGCGACGTGTTAGAAAAGATACTGGTAAGTGGTTGCAATTTTAGACTAATAATAATATGCGGCAGAACTTGCGAATATGGTTGCTGTCCATACACAAGCGAATGGGAAATGGGTTGGAAACCTTTTGGTTAGTCATTGACATTTTTAGGAGTCTCTAATTTAAAATATTATAGAATCTAAATTAACAAATCGAAATCATTTATGCGGAGAAAACAATTTAAAGATTTACTTTAAACATGAAAGATTAAATTGTTTTTATTTTTGGATCCTGAAACAGTTGGTGCTAGATTGCTATAGATAATTACTGTTTTCAGACATTGAAAAGGAGACATGAAATGACATACATGATAGTGTACATTTATTTTGCGAACTGAAGACATATGAGGATCCTTTTCCTTGTAAAATTGGTCGACCAATCACAGGTTGATTAATCAAGGGCATTGTAAAGGGTTCCAATAACTAGTATATAACTATATATTTTATATTCATGCTGGAGTTATTACTGCATTACTACAATTAACCTTCATTGGTTCTGCCAGGAAGAGCTACTGGAAACTGGACATGCGCTTTTAGTTTATGGTGTTTGAATCCAGCAGTTGTGTTTAGAGATGTTGCTGATCTTTCTTTATCAATTATCTTGACTTCAGGGTAAGTACAATGGGTACCTAATGACCAACCAAGACCAAGTTTATAATTGGTTCAGAACAGATTTCTTTTTGTATTTTTTTCTCATGATTCAAGAATGCATCTCAAAATTTATTCCTTAGCAATGTGTCCCTATTAATCAGTACCATTTTCGGAGTCTGGGGAAAATTCCTACGGAGCCAGTGGGCTGGTTGGGATTTTATAGCCTGACCTAGACTGATAATATAAGGCAGGGAAAATCAGGTCTTTTAAGCCTGATTTCATATAAGCATATAATTATGACTGGGCCTGTATTCTTTTGGATCTGGGTGGGTGGGGAGTCAAGCAGCATATTTTTTTCAGTTTTCGGCGGAATTAACCGGAATATCTGGACTAATTTTCTTAGAAGCATCTCTGCTGGAATACATGTTCTGTATTCCAGTAATGTATTCATGTCTCATATATTATGTTAACATTTCCCAAATTAACTTGACGTCTTTTTGGTAAAACTGTCTTTTGTCAATTTCCCTCCTATTCAGATCTTCACATTTCATTGTAATGTCTGTAGATATACCCTACTATATGTCTGGTTTATAGAAATAGCCTTTTCACTTTATAGTCTGTAAAATGCATTTGTTGAAGTATAGTACAATTGAGGCATTGCTATCACAAGCCTTCATGTTAAAGGTAAACTGATAAGGACTTGAATTTAATAGTGTGCCTAAATTCCACATTGAGTAATATGCATGTTGGATTGAATATTTAATTATTTGGTTCTATCTTCATAATATTTAGCTCGAGAGTGGGTTCCTTAAGTGCTTGGGTGCTTATCATAAACTTTCACCAAATAATTCATAATTGATATATGTATGTGTGTCTATGGCGTACAACTTTTTATATCTAAGATGAGGCGACTGTAATTTGTTGTTTTTAATTTCCATGACACTCTGCATGTTAGGACCAAGAATTGTTGAGGAAGCTTAGTTCTCATTGCATCTTTACTGCCTTACATCATTGTAGTATCTTTTACATACTTATTTTGGTATTTCAGAACACTGTCACCATTGGCATCCTTTACTTCTGAGCTTGGAGTTCATTTTGAAACTAGTCTAGAAGCTCCTCATGTAATTGATGTTGACTCACAGGTCTTGGCTACTTGTCCACTTGTCCTTTTAGCCCTATAAGTGCTAGTTCAACAAGTTATAACTTAAAACCTCTTGAATATAGGTGTGGCCTGCTGTAATCTCCACTGGTCCTGGCAATTATCCTTTGAATGCAAGTTATAAAACTGCAGATGGATATGCATTCCAGGTATGTTTGCTCTCAACATATTTTTCAGAATATGTTATTCTTGCATTTAGAATACGTCTGATTATCATTAGTTATGATTTAGGATGCAGTTGGAAAATCTTTAGAGGAAATTTTCAAGATTGTTCCAGGCGGATGCCTTGTGTTCTTTCCAAGTTATAAATTGATGGACAAATTACGCAACCGTTGGTCTGAAACAGGTCAATGGTCTCGACTAAATGCAGAAAAGCCTCTTTTTGTCGGTGAGTTATCCTTATTTATGAAATGCTTGTTGTGCACTAGGATCAAGAGAAGTTTCTGTTGATATGTTTGCTTTTACCTTTTGCTATCTATTTTTCCTGCAATGCAAATGTTTTAGTAGAGAGAAAATTACTCTGGTATTTATATCTATGGAAAGCATCGCTTGTAACTGTGTGATCAATATGCATGGGTACTCTTATTTATGATGAAGAAAAGATACAATAATAAGGAACAAAATCAATACCTATCAATTATAAATATTTGGTAAGATAAGTACATGTGGAACCACTAGAGGAACATGTTGAATGGTAGAAGACAAGAAAGCAGTATTTTCAATGAAAGTAACATCAGCAGAGAAACCGTTTAAGTTATGGAGTGGAACATTTGAAGCCTTTCTAGATGTGGGAGTAACCAAGAAAGGTACATTTGAGGGATTTTTCAAATAACTTATCTTTACTTGGAGTGAGATCATGGACGAAACATGTAACTTAAAAGACACATAAGGAATAGGATGAAAGTCTTGTTTAATATTCAAGACAGAACAAGGAATCCGATTGTTTAGAACGATAAGGCATGTGGTTAATTATATTGGTGGTGGTAAGAGTGACATCTTCCCAAAAACATTGTGGGACATTACAATAAAGGGTACGAGGTGTCCACCAAGTGACAGTTTTTGTGTTAAACAACTCTGTTTTGTGGTGATGAAGAAATCTGTATGACTTTAGAAGATAGTAAACTTGGAAGGACAAATATTCTTTTGAAGTTGTAAAATTTTAATGGACTAGCCAAACTGATTTTAGATTAGATTTTGGAAAAATTGACAAAACATCAGATTTTTCATTAGAAACGCTCATGTATAATAAGAAATATAATCTATAAAGGGAACAAAATAAAAATATTCCTTGATTGTTGGCTGGAACATTCGTGATTTTGGTTGTCAAGTTGGCAGCACGACCTTGTCCTTGAAACCACCATTGACAGCACAAGTGACGTGGTTGGCTGTACTGGTGGGCTTTTCAAATGGAATGAGGGTAACATTGGTGAAGGACACAACAGAGTCAGTATTTGGGAGTAGCCATTAAACACACCAAAACGTTCAATCCAGGAAATGGAGTCACAAATAGCCAAATAGAGTGATGAAACAAAGTCACCGGAGGTGAAGGAACAAGTCGGAAGGGTTGCTGGATTTCCAAAATATGAGGTCGTGAATGTATGGGACTGTTAGGCGGCAGGCTGGGGATAGAACTGGTCATTGGAGGGTGTGGCGGACTGGACAATGGAGGAGACACTGTATTGGAAGGAAAAAAATAGAAATCTTATTACTTGTAATTGTGTGATCTCTTATTTATATAGAAGTAAAAGAATCAATTTCTAATAATAATGGGAAGTATTTGATCATATCTCTCCTTATTTATAATCAAATAACAAATGAGATGTTTAGCAACATCTTAAGATGACTTTGTTGTCCTGGCAATATTTTTGGTTGTATTAAGAATTTGAATTATGCTTGTGGTTGATTTGTAGAACCAAGAGGCGGAAGCCAAGATGATTTTGAACTGGTATTAAAGGGGTATTATGATTCAATTCATCACGAAGAAGGACCAGCGCGGGGAAGGAAAAGAAGGATTAAGAAAATAGATCTAAATCATGTGCATGCAGTTGATTCCCTACAGAATTCTAGAAAAGGAGGAGCAGCTTTACTTGGTGTTTGTCGAGGAAAGGTGCGTCAGAATTTTACTATTATCTAATTATTTTAGATGCTGCTTTTTTCTGGTAACAATTGTGGAATGGGTAATTTGATTTTTTCTATTCTTTAGTAGCTACAGTTATATTTCTTATAGTTTTTCCTTTGATAGGACTTGTTTCTCCACGTGTCCTTTGTCTCTCTCAATCCCTTTTTACAAGTTAAAAAACATACAATTTTCTCTTTTCACTAGAGCCTCGTATTGAAACCGCCTTTGCTGAATTTTTATCGTCTTCTTGAATATGTACCACTCCAATATCTCCTCATATACAATCATTCCGTGTGTCCATACATTCATCTTAAATATTTTGATGTTTGGTAGAGGCTCTACCATACCATGAAAGAAATAAAAATAATGGAAAGGATGCTGAAAATTGTGTATTTGAGCTACACAACAAAGTCCATTTTATATAAGTTGATGACAATAAATACATGAAATGATATGCTTATAAATCACATTCTAGTAAATGTCATTCTAATAAATGTCATTCTAATAAGACATTCATGTACTTGTGAAGATCGTAGTGAAATAAGGAAGCAAATAAAAAATATAAAAGTAGAATAAATCTTAAGAGATTGTCTAAGACATTCTAAAATATTTAGATAATATCTTTAGATATTTCTTATCTTTTATAGCATTACTGTTATTTAAAATGTTTTAATTTGTGTAGACGATAACTGCCTTAAGATTTATGAATTCAATTTTCCTTTAGCATAGTTATTTGTTTATATGACCTCATAATTACAAGCTTGTGTTTATTTGATCAAACATAGAATAATGCCTGTGTTTCAGGTTTCTGAAGGAATTGATTTCTCCGATGCTAATGCTAGAGTAGTTGTATCCTTATATCTACTTATAATTGATTGTTTCACCATTCTTTGGGGAAGAGATCTTATCTACCATGACACTATAGTATATTTTTGTGAGGATTGAAAGTAGGTATGCTCTGAGATTATTAAGATGAAGATTGATAAATATGGTTGTGAAATTGAACCAGTTCAAGGTAGCCTATAGTTATAATGACTTTGATCACACAGACATTCCAATGTCTAATAACCAGTGTAAATGTTAACTATAAATTGGACGTCCTTAACAATCTCAGATTATTGTTGGTATTCCATTTCCAAATATGTAAGACTCCTTTCTTTTCTCCTATTAGTTTTGAAGGAATCATGTTACGAGAATAAATTTTTCTGATTGTCTGATTTATTAAACTATCAGAAATGATATTCAAGTTGGATTGAAGAAGAAATATAATGACACCTACAAATCATTCAAAAGTCTATTGAGTGGAAATGAGTGGTACTGCCACCAAGCATTCCGAGCTTTAAATCAAGCTGCAGGTAAGGCTTAAATCCATTTAAACCAAAGCTGATTGTTTTTCAAATTTTTATACTGATTTCCTTTTATTTTCTGTAGGGCGCTGTATACGTCATAAATTTGATTATGGAGCAATTATCCTATTGGGTATGAACTGCGTTCTACTTTGGTTCTCTTCCTCTTTATACGTTGTTTCTCTCCTTTTGAATTTAGAATTTTAAAAACTGAGTTTCATATTTGAAAGGGAGGTTGGAATTTTTTTCGGTTTTCTAGAGTATGCAAAATATTACACTGGTGGTTGCTTTGCCAGAGTTTACAGCTTTGAAACTATTTTCTTTTTCATCAGTTGGTTTGGAACTAATTCCTTTAAACATGCTTTGAATGTTGGTAGATGCTACCATTGGAAAATATTTTCCTATGGAATGTAAAACTTATCTAGAGTCGTGACAGTTATTCCTATGGGGCAACCGTAAAACGACAGTTCTGTCTTATGAACTATTTATTTTTGTTTAGACTATAATAATCTGGCGTTTCCCATTGTGCTCTGGTAGACCATTGCCTTACAGTTTTTTCTTGGGCTAGGGTTTATGTTAACACTGTTCTTTGTATAACTATCAACTCTACACTTCCAACCCAATTTTCTATCATAATTGGTGTAATTATTCTTATGGAGTTAGATGAACGTTTTCAAGAAGAAAGAAATAGGGCATTTATTTCAAAGTGGATAAGAAGACCGTTGAAAGTATATGACAGCTTTGATTTGTCATTGGAGGGATTAAAGTCTTTCTTTGAGAATGCTAAGGTACATTGCATGTTAGTTTATTATAGTCTACCTCGATCTTCTTCAAGGTTTAGTGGTAAAAGAATTACCCATGCATGGTCAACTTGCTTCAGGAACACTATGGCATAAATACAGTGCATGCCACACAGAGTTTAGATATAAATGGGGATGTCCAAAAGAAGGATCAGAATGCATGTTCCACAAGAAAAAATAATCAGAAGCTGAACAAGTCTGATAATGGAGATGGGAGGGAAACAACAATGATCGAGAATAGCATTTCTTCACCCACCCTAACCTCTCAAGATCTTGTTGAGTGTGAGCCATCAGCTCAAAAGAATAGTAGCACTTATAGTTGTAAATATCTCCCACAGTACTTTACAAAGACAGATCCAAGGTATCTCTCTGTTTCCGTCATTTTGTTGTAATTTGTATGATTCTTATTTTTAGTAACTAAACGTCTAAACTTAATGATAGACACATCTGTTTTGAAGAATTGGGGCAGTTAAATCCTTCTTTGACCTCCAATATCAAATCTCAGACATTCAAGGGAGGGATATTAATCTTCTATTTAGTACAAACTGAAATACTGAACATCCAGCTAATTCTTTGATTGTTTATTTAACAAATAACATTTTCCTTTCGTGTTGTCAACTAATCTTCGAGCATATGTGGCGGTATGATTGAGTTAGCCAAACTGTCAGGGGTCTTATATTAAAACTCATGGTACTAGTGTAATTTTTCTCTTTTCGTTGAATAAATGAAGAAGGCACCAATTGACCTGGATGAACTATTTTCCTTTTTAAATTTAAATGAGAAAAAGTAGATAATCTAAATGTGCTGTTCCCTTATGTTTGTGTATCTTTCTATTTTGTTTTGGGTGGGTTCATTCAGGTTTTCAATTATGTAATACAGGATCTGTTAGGTTCCTAGATAGAGGAAACCTGGAAAAACCCACTGCAACCACCTATATTCACTGCGTAGAACTATTATTATTGATTCTGGGCACAAACACAGTATGAGAGCAGCCAAGGGACAATGTTCCCTTCTCACAGGATGCCAAAGATCCTATCAACCCTTTTCCAAACTATCAAAAACGTCCCTGCATACAAAGACCCCCAACTATATATAGAAAGTCTCACCCAACCTAACAACCCAACTAACAACTACTTCTCTATATGTTTCCTCCTAACATACACATTACATATCCTAACAGGATCACCTTTATCTTCTACGAAAGATACATCTAGGCATTCATTTCTATGCCATCAAATAGCAATCTCTAAACATAAATATATTTTTCAATTATTTTTACATTATTAAGCAACATCAGTGTAGTTACTTGTTGGCAAATGTAATTCTTGCAGGTTCACTGCAATCATGCACGAGGAAACTTACGTTGTCAAGGAAACCCCTTGTATAGACGTTGACTATGGTCCCAGTAGCCCTCATTACTCCAAAGATGACAACTCTGGTTCCTTCATAATTGAGGCCCCCGCTCAAATTCCAGGTCACGAGTCAATGTCTTTGAATACTGGAAGCAAAAATTCTTCAAGGGCTCAGTCTTCAATTACAGTTACTCCTAAAAGGAGTGTAATTACAAATGATATTCCAGAAATGGAAAGTGTTAATTCTTACCATCATAAAAGGATGAGGCCCACAGTCACTCCTTATATAAACCTTGAAGAAGAAAACTTTATTGCACCTTGTGCCAGTCCTCCTCTTACACGGTCCAGTGTAGTTGTTAGAGAGATAATTCAGGCAAGTGAATATGATTTTGTGAGGGTTTTGAAGTCAAATTCTCCTCCATTACTGATAAGCAATATACCCGGTTCATGTTCACCAACTGCCCCTCCACTAGACCAAAGATTATTGATATTTTGTTCACTCTGCAAAAGTCCATTAGGCCGACCTGAGAACCATCTATATCTTAGGTGCTCGATGATTTCATCATCAAAAGTTCATCTAAGATCCCTTTTGAAACAGAGGCTGAGAACTTGCACTACTGATACTTCAAAGAGTATTCCAGTTCTCATTACTGATTCTTTATTTGTTGATCAACGAATTTGCAATAGAATACCCAAAAGCGCACCAGAACACAGTATTTGGTGTCCAGAAGATGGGTGTGTTTTCAGCACCATTTTCTGCCCCTTTTGCAGTAATGTCAGCAATTTGCTAGGAGTTCAGATCATGGCTACCGACTCATCAAATGTTCAGTTACTTGACAAGGTAACTTTCCACCAGGATCAGGCAACCTTGTTTCATTTATGCATGAATATTAATATCCTTATTTGCATTGTACTTTGCTGTTCCAGTTCCAGCTGTGTCAATTTTCTCTGCTAGTGTGTTCTTTGTATTTCTCTCTAACATTTCTTTTGCAGATATTGTTTTACTTTGATTCATTGGAAGTTAAGAGCAGTGAGGAATCAGGGAGCACTGATTCAGGAAACGGGGTAAGATTAAGCCATATGTCTTGTTAGTCTTTTCCATGAAGATAACACTATTAAACAGTTTTTTTTTTTGCTTTTTTTGTGATAGTGGCCACTTTGTTTCTAGCATAATACCAAAAGCAAATGTTTTATGACGGGAACAATATTTGAAACTGGAATCTAAAACCTCCCCAAACACAATCTCTTATGTATACTTTTGAAATTGTTCTTCATGCATGCTGAATTATAATTTATAAACGAGCCATATATTCCTCTGACACTTTATGAAAACATCTCCTGAATTGGTACAGGATCTGTTGCCGGTTAATGACTCTGGTGAGGATAAAACTACTGTCTTAAATTCTATTGAAAAATATTCTTATCTTCCCCGACCAGGGAATGCAGAAGTTTTTAAGACTGGGAAATCAAAGGTAAGAATTCAAGTAATGCTTCATGCATTTTTTTTTGTTGAAAAATACTTGTCTTAGAGCAGTCTTGTTTATAAATGATGCAGCAAAGACTAAGAGGCTTGCGCTGTGCAGCAAACCAAAGCTGAAGCCAGTAAGATTGGATTTGTGACGCAGTTTTGGTAACCGTGTTAAGAACACAAATTGACCTGAGTATGGTGATTTTTCAAGAATTGAATCAAAGAATGTGTTGTTTGACATCAAACACATTTAATGTAATTAAATTTTCTACGTGAGTATATTTTTATTCTTTTGAATTTAATCGAGTAGATACCAAAAGTTGGGAAACCAGTCATTCTGGGCCTTCCATTTCTCACCGACTAACATTTTAGAGTCAAATACTTAATTGATCCCAATCAGTAGCTTTTTCAATTTTTTTCTTCATCTTGTCGGGGAAGTATCTATAATTTATAAGTAGTTTTTTGTTATTGATAGTTATTGATGAGCTAATTTTCTATCTATGGAGTATTATTTTTTGCACGAAGTACTAGTGTTGATGGTTTCATTACTTTGGAATTTCAGGATTAATTTCTTTTCCGGTCTTCAAGGTCTGCCTCCATTGCTCACCACCCGCAAATGACCCAGATACTAAGTAGGAACCATGTCTCGGTTTTATCGGAATATCTAATAGTGATAACAATGACCCGAATTGTAGTGGTGCTTCTGTACAGCAAGTTATAAAAGATGGCTTTCTCTTTGTACATTTTGGAAGATGATTTCTAGTTACATATGTTGGCTCAACTGAGTTTTTCTGTAAAGCATTTCCAACAATACCATCCTGTCTGTACATGGAACTATGTTCGAATATTTAATCCACAATTCCAAGTAAAGAAGCTCCTCTTTTCCTAGAGTTATGTAGAGAATCTACATTAACATGATTTAGATAAATTCTGAATCCTCTTTCCACGAATTGAATCATAATACCCCAATGCAGTTCAAAATCACCATGGCTTCCTCCTCTTGGTTCTACAAATTTAGTTCGAACATAATTCAAATTCTTAATAAAACCATAAAATTCAGAGTAATGGTCCACTATACTTACATCCGGCCATACCTACATTCAAGAGATAACATTTTGAACAAGCAGTTACAGGTCCGAAAAAAATGGTGAATTTTAACGATAATGGATAACTAAATCAACATCAATTACATGAGGAGCTTTTAACTAGTTTCAAGTGGACTCCAAGCTCCGAAGTACGTCATTATGACTGCTCTGAAATGCTAAAGTACGTAAATGATACTACAAGGATGCTAGGAAGTAAAGAGGCTATATTATAAGCATTATTCTAATTTTAAAACTATTCTTTTCCGGAGTCTGGCTTCAAAAGTGATAAAACATCACAATTGAATAATAGACACTATTTTGAATGTCTTATAATTTTGAGGTTCTCATTCAGTTATTCAAAATATAAATATAAGAGTAAATATAAAGTATTCAGTAAAACAAATTTAGGATATTATTTGCACGAGGACGATCATGTTGCATTTGGATATGTTTGTGCTGATTTCGTACAACAAACGTTAACTTCATAGGAAAAAATGAGTAGGAAAATTATCGAATTGGACTTGTGATCTTCATTGTAATTGTAGATATGGACACTATTTAACTAATGTTGGTTTCACCTAAAAAATGTTTAGGATTTCATATATGACTAAATTAGCGAAAAAGGGTTACACTGCTTATTAGGTAATATTAAAAAGGAGTTAGACTATTGATTAACTTTCACCCGAACATTACCAAAATCTTTTTATTTTGAGAATACATTATCAAAGTTAATGTTTAACTCCTTTTTAATATTTTGAAGAACAAAATGATTTTATTGAATTTTTTGAACTTTAAAATTATGTGAGCACAACGATTTCCGTTAAAATACTTCTTTTTTCCAGACATAAAAGTGACGAAAAGAGCATATATTATATAACATTTTTAAGAATTTTTCAATTATTTATATTTGAGGGAATAAAGGTGAAAATAAAATTGTTGGGACTAAGAAAAAAATGATGAGAAATGAAAAAAATTTAAATGACAATTTATAAAAGTTAGTGATTAAAGTGATAAGTTTAATAAATTAAAATCAGTATAAATTTTTAATGATGGGAAACAAATTAAAGTCTTTTTGAATATGCTTGTTTTGAATTATGTATCATATTATTCTCTTCCCTTCACCTCCATTTTTGTTTTTCTAACACTTATCAAATCTCTTCAATATTTTAATAGTAAGGAATATAAGTTCATATAACTATTTTTTTTTCCTATTCGTATTTATGTCATAACACACACAAGACACTACTTGTTTTTCCTTGTTAAACAAAATTAATAGTTGTTGCACTAAAAATATTCTACCCTATTTCTCTTTTATAAAACCACACTATCTTCCTTCTTTCGTCCCTATATCAAAACAAACCTTAGCATTCCACCTTATTTTCTTCATGCTACCGCTTATTTTTTATTTTTTTAAAATTTAATGAACTTAATAATTAGTCAGTTGATGAAAAATTATAATACAAAAGGTAACAAAGAAAAAAAAGACTTACCATGTTGAAAACAAAAATAACTAAAAATGCTTACAAAATTTATAAGAAACAAAAAAAAATAGATATAATTCAACGGATAAAAATATATTTAAGTATTTTTATTTACGTACATTATTTCTATTGCTATTTTGCCCTTCATTTCCATCATTTAGACCAATTTAAGATCCACAACTTCTGTAATCTTTCTTCTATACTTCTATTTAATTTTTTACGTGTTGGTTCATTTGGGCTCAAGTCTTAAATTCACAATTTCTTTTCCAACTTTTCTCTTACATATATTTTTGGTCTTTGTTTGTCACTAATAAAATAACTATCCTTTTTCTCCCAGAACAATTTCTATTTTGGGTTCGGTCCCTACAGTGTTATTTAAATAAGTTTATTTCACTGTAAAGAACATACTTAAATTAGTTTTAGGCCTCAGCCTTAATCTTTGCCTATCCCAAAAATCTTAATAAAGAAGTGGAAGAACAGTAGTGGTTTCTTTCATAAGTTGAACGAAATGACCCGAGAAGTCAACGAAATTAAAGCCAGATGGCAAGTACATTCCAAAACGAACAAAGAAAATCCAGAGTGATTCTCTAGCGTCTAAAACAAATTCATAGCACTTAGATAGTTAATTTATTGGTAATTGTAGTCGACAGAAAAAGAGAACTGATTTTCTGACTATACTAGTAATCTGCAAAAAACATGAGACTCAATACTTATGTCCTTGCTCTTTTCAAAAGGAGGCGCAACGAAAACATGCCAAGAGCAAAAGTTTGCCAAAACCATCCTATTGCATTGGAAGGATCTACCCTTTGAGCCAGGTGCCAAGCATAAATGGCCTCAGCAATGTGTGCAATTGTAGCCAGAAGAAACACCAGCCTTGTCACCAACATTGATCGAAAGACAAATAGACATGTAGCTCTGAGAAAGAAAACGATCCCTATGTCAGGTAAGAAAGCACCGCAAAAGAGTGAGATCATTCCAATGACGCAAAACAACCAGGCGAATATCGTGGGTCCATCCAGAGTCGCTCTTTTCCTCTGTTGCCAGTAAGATATGGTCAAAGCCATCCCCTCACGTGATGAAACCATGGGAACATAGCCAATCTCCTGTTTGGCTTTAAGATAGGAGAAATAATGGGTGACCCCCACCTGTCGAAAACGAACACGGAAATCATGAAAACCTGAGGAGGTTCTACCTATTAATTAGAGAAAAGGATAGACTAACTGAAGAACCTTGTGTACTTCACTGGGAAGAATGAACGGCTGTGGAAGCCACCACCGATTGAGCAATGGATATAGGATTGTATAAACAGCGGAGCAAATCCTCCCAAGAACAAGAGCCCGATCCACAGTTAGGGTAGTCTGTGGTAGTTCATAATCTAAACTCCTAAGTAGAGGCTGTAGGAATTCAAAAGAATTGACCGGTGAACCTGAGAAAAGAAGATATGTTAGGAGAAACAGCAAGAAAGAAAGAAAGAAAAGGATGATGGATTACCATCAGATATAAAGTAGGCCTGGCCAGCAGCTACAGGGCGTTTTGCCTGGCTAGGATTGTCATCAAGAAGTCCCATGCTGGCCAATATAAGAGCATGGACAAGGTTATCCACAAAAAGCCAATCTGATTTTACAGTTTGGTCGCCAATTCTGAACAAAAGGAGACCCAACTTTGCCATGGTTACGATCCTTGGAAGATGCCTGTCTTCGGCCGGACCATAGATTGCAGCCGGACGAATAGCACAAGTGTAAAGATTTCCGGATTTGTTCCTGTAGGAGGAAAAATTAGTTACTAGTGTAAGAAAGAGGTCAAAAGAATTAAATACATACATACATACTTGAGAGGGCGGGCATTGTTCTTTAGAACCAACTGCTCAGCGATTGATTTACTACGGCCATATGGATCGGAATGGTGATCAATTGGGAAATAAGGCAATGTCTCATTCCCGTTGATGATCTGTTGACCACCGAAGACAACATTGTATGTGCTACAGTAGACAAGCCTCGTGATGCCGAGGTCGAGACAAGCGTCGAGAACATGGCAGGTCCCATTTATGTTGACTTCATCAACACGACCAAACTGGAGCATCTCTTTACCTGACATTCCAAAGGCCGCAAGGTGGAAAACACAATCGGCACCGCGGAGGGCCCTTTCCACGTCTTCTTTGCGGCGAACGTCACCTGTGCAGAGAAATAGAGAGTTAGGTTTAGGTTGTGGAGTTAAAAAAGTAAGAAAAAATGGAAATTGAAAAGGGTAACCTTGAATGCAGAGTACTCCCTTATCGTGGAGAGGAGGGGAAAAAGGAGAAGAGGGGCGGAGGTCAAATGCTCGGACCTCTCTGGCATCTCTTCGGATGAGCTCCAAGCAGAGAGCAGAGCCTACGAATCCGAGTCCACCTGTCACCACAAAGGTCTTCCCCTCTATCCCTTCCGTCTCGCTCAACTGCATTCTTTCTATTCTCTTTTTCAGATCTTGCCTTCCGCCCTCTCACCTCTCCATATTCCCCTTCCCCCAATTTATCACATCTATTATGTACACATCGTAAACTCACTTTTCTTTTTTAAACAAAATAATAAACTCTATTTTACTCACTTAACTCATCCTACGTGGCATATCATTTTTTTAAATTTTTTTAATTATTTTACTCACTGAGCATAGCTGCTTTGTGTTGTCACATGTTTGGTTCACTTGGCTCGACTGAAGTCTAGGTCGAGTCTAAGTCAAGCCAACTTGCCTTAATCTTTTAGTTCAAGTTGATTCAACTCAATTTTCATGTCGAGTCAACTCAATTTAATTTTTCGGATCGAGTCGACTTGACTCGACCTTTGTTTTGAATAATTTGGCTTGACGTTCATCATAATCAACTTAGTATAACTTTCGTCCAGGCAACTTGACTCAACTTTTGTTTCGAACAACTTGACTCGACCCTCGGTCCATGCTAACTCTATTAGACCTTTGGCTTGTGTTAATTTGTTTCAATTATTTAATCCAAGCTTACTTGACTCAACTTTTAGCTCGCATAGATGCATTTTCACTTGAGCGGACTTGACTCAACGTTTGACTCGGAGCAACTCTGCTGGACCTTGGACTTAGGCTGACTTGCCTCCATCTTATCCTTAGCCACCTTGGGCTATTATTTATTGGATTTTACAATTTGGATCTTTTGCCCACCCCTAAGTGAATGAAAAAAAAATGGTCTATACAATAAACTCTAACCCTAAACCTAAAAATGTATAACACATCGAAGGTCTGCAACTAGAATTTTCTTAACAACATATGGGTCTCCGTTTGTGTTTGTTGGTAAAGTAATCTCTACCCTCAATCATGCATAGAGAGAATGCCAGTGTCACACATTGCTTGAGTCTCTAAATGACATCGACAAATCCCTTTCATTTTTTTTTTCATCTTTACTTAACAACACCATTGTTATGTTAAAAAAACTTAAATAGATAATTAATGTTTAACAATTCTTTTATTTTTTTTATGAGAGAAAAGGTAAGATGTTAGTGGTCATTTTCTTGTTCTTAATTGTAATAATTGGTAGATTTAAGACGTAGAAATGAGAAGCCAAATTTCAATCTTTAGGTTCAAGTTGTATTATTTGATTTAATATGGGTGAAAAGTGAATTAGTATATCCACACAATATTGTTAACAAATTGGAATAAAAGCTTGAGAACCTAAGTGTTTGAATTTTTGAAGAAGATTGAGTGAGATGACCAACATTACAAACAATGTGCCTTTACTTTAGTTGACAAAGACGATGATAAGTCTCTAAATACAAGATTTTCTTTTTCCTAGTATAATTGAAAGGTGGTTAAAAATATTGTAGGTATAACAATAGCCTATAATAATGCATTGAAAGCAACACATATGAAGGATGAAAAATGTACATGTTATATCGAGCTATTGTTGAGTCCTACTCTGAGATGATAGAAAGTGTTAAAACTTCAAAAGAAGCGTGAGATATTCCGAAGAAGGCGTACAAGAGAGATGACTGAGAAAAGCAAGTTCGACTGTAAACACTCATTAGCGAGTTGGAGAGCACGATGATGAAGGAAACAAAAGGATTTCCAAGTATATCACTCAAGTTGAAACCATGGTGAACAAACTTAGTAGAAACAGAAAGACATTGATTTATGGCTAAGTAGTGGAAAAGATCTTAAGGTCATTGATTGACGACTTCAAGAATGTTGTATGTGCAATTAAAGAGTCAAAAGACTTGTTAATGCTCTTGGTTGGGGAGCATGTTGGTTTTGGAGGCACACAAGCAACAAAAGAAGAAGAAGAAGAAAGAGTAGCAAATTGAACAAGCATTACAAACAAATGTGTCAATTAAAGAGGAACAAATGTTTTATACTTAGAACACTCGAGATAGAGGAAGAGGTAGATGAAACAATCGTGGTGGTGGAGGTTAATCTAGTTAACAAAATTGACATAAAAGAGGATGAGGTTAGAGCAGAGGAGGTTAGTAGTGACATATCACTATTTATTTTGATTAATTATTATTGTTTTCTTTATCTGACACCAAATTAGTGCCTTAGAATAAATGCATAAAATAAAATAGGGTTAAATATGTTTTTAATACAACAACTAGGATGCAAACTTAAAATTTGTCTTTGTCCCAAACTTTGATTTATTTTGACCCTCAAACTTTAAAAAAGAATGAATAGAGTCCTCAACTTGGACACAAAGTTAGAATTTGTCTTTGTCCCAAATTTTGATACATTTTGATCTTTAAACTTTAAAAAAAAAATGAATATAATCATTTTAACCTAACGATATTATTTACTTTTAGTTTGTTAAACAATATTTTATATTAACATTTAAGCTTAAATGTGCCCATAAGTTTTTAACGCAATTAATTTGTGAGAACTATATTCATTCATTTTTAATGTTTTGTGAGAATTATATTCTTTCATTTTTAATGTTTAAAGATAAAAATATATCAAAATTTGAAATATAAATCTTTCTAATTTTACATCAAAGAATAAAAATATATTTAATTCAATAAAATATTATTAACTATAGAATACAATTCAAAACATGTTTTTTAAACTTATTTAAGTTCAAATAGATTAAAAATGAAACTGTTATAAGTTGATCTCCGTTGCATAAATTGACACATGCGTTAGAAAGTAAAAATTCTTCAAAAACTTAGAAAGTATTCTCTCCAAAATTGTAAATTTTATTCCTCAATATCATATATACCCACATAATTTATTTAGGAGACCATAGTCATCACTAACAATAAAAATAATGATAAATCTAAAATCAAAAACAATAAATGTAACTACTTATATAAAAAAAAATCATCTTACACAATGCTTTCAATCAATATAACTATTTAATGAATTAATTAATTCATTCATCAATTTTTAGAAAACCAAGATTTTAATTAAGATTTTATATTAAAGTTCATTAATACTACATCATTATCTGACTAAGAATCTTCCGCATAGTTCCATTAATTTGAGAGATATTCGCCACAGTACCTCTCAAATTAATCTCAAATTAAAGCCGCTCGTATTCTTGTCACCTTTAAATTATGAATTATCTTTAATCATTAAATTTTCATACTTAAAATATAGATCATAAAATTCCATTCACAACATATGTATTAACTACAACAATTTAATATCTATTGACCACAACAATTTAGCACAAATTAACCATAACAATTTAATTTATATTAACACCAACAACTTAATATACATTAATAACAATTGAATATATATTAACAATAATAATTGAATATATATTAACAACAACAATTTAATGTCTTTTAAACTTATATTTTAAACATAACAATAATTTGTAATAACTATTTCGGGTTTAAAGTTTCAGGAATTTAAGGTTTAAGGGTTTTAGGATTTAAGGGGATTGGGATTTCTGTTTTGGACTTTCAGGATTACGAAGTTTCAACCTTTTAGGGTTTCGATGTTTTAGGATTTTAGAGTTTAAGGGTTTTTGGAGTTTAAGGGATCTGGGGTTTTCAGATTTCAGGATTTCGTAGTTTTGGGGTTTCAAACGTTAAGTAATTTTGGATTTTGGGGTTTTGGAGTTTTAGGGTTTCGGGTTACAGTGTTTCAGGGTTTTAGGATTTTGGAGTTTCATGGTTTCACAGTCTCAGGGTCTCAGGATTTTAGGCTTTCAGTGTTTTAGGGTTGTAGGGTTTGTGAGTGTCGGGGTTTCGGTGTTTTAGAGTTTTAAGGTTTTGGAGTTTTGGGTTACGGGATTTCGGGATTGCGTGATTTCAGGATTTAAGAATTTTGGAGTTTCAGGGTTTTGGGATTTCAAAGTTTCAGGGTTTGAGGCATATGGGGTTACCGAGTTTCAGAGTTTCAAGATTTTAGGGTTTATGAGTTTCAAGATTTCGGGGTTTCGGGATTTCAGGATTTTAGATTTTGTGGACTTTAAGGTTTAAGTGTTTCAGGGTTTCGAGCTTTCGGGTTTTAGAATTTCGAGGTTTTAAGATTTAAGAATTTTCGGGTTTCAAGGTTTTAAGGTTTCAAGGTTTTAAAGTTTCGGGGTTTCAAGGTTTCAGGGTTTCAAGGTTTTGAGGTTTCAGGTTTTCAGAGTTTCATGGTTTTGGGGTTTTAGGGCTTCAAGATTTTAGGATTTTGTGGTTTTAGGGTTTCGTGGTTTTAGGATTTTTTGGTTTCGGGATTTCAGGGTTTTGGGGTTTCGGGGTTGCACGATTTCAGATTTTCAGGGTTTACGAACTGTTAGGATTTTAGCATTCAAAGTTTTAGGGTTTCGTGGTATAGGGTATAAAGGTTTCGAGGTTTCAAGGTTTCGGGATGAATCCCTGAAACTCGAAAAATTTGAAACCTTGAAACCCTAAAACCTTGAAACCGTGAAACCATGAAAAAATTGAAACCCTAAAACCTTAAAACCTCGATCACTAAAACCCTTAAACTTTAAAACCTCGGTACCATGAAACCTCAAATCATTGAAACCTCGAAACCCTGAACCCCGAACCCTAAAGTCCCGAAACCCTAAAACTCCAAAAGCTTGAAACTTTGAAACTTTGAAACTCCGAAACCCTGAAGCCCGAAACCCTAAAACCCCGAAACACTAAAACCCCGAAACCCTGAAATTCTGAAACCCTAAAACTCTGAAACCTTAAAAGACTGAACCCTGGACCCCTAAATCACTGAAACCCTGAAACCCTAAAATCGTGAAATCATAAAACTTCGAAACCCTGAAACCCCGAAACCTCAAAAAACTAAAACCTTGAAACTCTTAAATCTTGAAACCCCGAAACACTGAAACGCTGAAACCATGAATCCTAAAAACCTAAAACCTTGAAACCCCGTAACCTTGAAACCTCAAAACCCTGAAACCTTGAAACCCAGAAACCCTTAAACCCCGTAACCTAGAAACCTTAAATCCTCGAAACCCCAAAACCCTCAAATCCTAAAAGCCCGAAACCCCAAAAACCTGATTCCCAAAACCCTTAAAGTTGTAGAAAATTTTGTCAATCAAATTCTTTATCTTTGTCAAGGACCTTAGAGAGTGGTGAGGGTAGCAGGGTTGGAGA